CCGAACTAAATAAATGATAAAGTTATTGCAGAAATGGTGAAAAGATGAAGAATAATGGGTAAGTTAATAGTTAAAAATCTAAAATTTTGCCTAATAGAGATACGTTGCGACATGCCTTTCGCCTGCAGTCCTGAGGTAGGATGCAGCCAGAAGATAAAAAATGACTCAGGGTAGATATGTGTACTTTAAAAGATACGATATAGTCTGATAACCGGAAAGAATGTAAAATCACAGAGAAGTGGTTATAGGACCCACACGAACAAATGTATTTGCAATTTTATATAAATGCATGAATGCAATAGGAAAAGAGGCAAGTTATGAAACAATAGCATTGCACAATTTCTTTGGATGATAAAAAAGAGACGAGAATATTTGACTGAGGGAAGAAAATTAAGATCTTTGAAAAAATGAAAAACTAAACTGATTCAATATGCTAATACCGGTAAAAATCAAGTAAAAATAGATAAAATGAGGGAAGTAACGATTTGAGGAAAGAATAAAGCAATGATCGCGAAAAGCAATGCAAAACAGAATTTTTTTTAAAACATTAAAATATGTTCAGGTAAAAACTATATAAATTGGTATCTGCTATCTTTTTATCCCTCTTATCAATATGAAAGTTCTTGTGACCGAGAGTGAAATGAAATGAGTACCAGCATCATGTAAATCTGCATACATACATACATGCCCAAGCGAGGATGGATATATATAAATAAGAATAGGAATATGAATACAAACACAAAATGGCTAAGCAAACAAGGAGTAAGGACCATGATGTTTCTGATTGAAAAAATTCAAACAGACACACAATCACCGATAAATGCGTAAGACAAACAAAGGGTAGGCATGCACACAAGAACATACCCAGGGGCTAATAAGATTAATATACTTGTAAGTGAGATTCAATGGGCAATGTTTTAGCACGAAGGCTGGAAGAAAGACAGACTAGGATATGATTTATAGGCCAAAAAATCAATGACCATGGCAGATCTCCCTCTAACTGGCAAGCTAATTACATAACAGTAGTATACTCAGACGAAACTCACAGGGGAAATCTTTGATATTTGACGAATAAAAAGTCAATGCTTAAGCGTTTAAAGAAAGAGCAGCTGAAACGCTAATTTTAAGAAAAAGATAAAAAATAAATGCATTCAAGGAGGGGCAATGATAAAGTAGATGTAGCATAGAGAAAGGAACAGTGAAAAAGAAGAAAAAAAGAAAGTCTTGAATCTATGCAGTCGTTTGGGGGAAGGATACAAACTCAAAAGGCAGATCCGTAAGCGAAATAAGGGGTACTAAATATAGATGAAATGTGAATTAATTCGCACTCATGAGAACGACTAACACAATCTTCTACTGCTCATTGGGAATACTGATATTTTTCACTATTAGAGCAAGAGCATCAATAGCAAATAAACAAGTACAACTTAGAAAATAAAGCCCGAAGAGAGATGGGTGAGGATAGTAAGGGAAAATAGGTCAAAAATTCCTTCAAGACTACTAGGCAGTAAGAAGAGCAAGAGATTGTTAGTTAACCCAAGGAGATTGCACGTATTGGAGGAGAAGATTGAACACAAGATGAAATTGAGAAGGAGGAATCTATGCTTGAAAGAGTCTTATCCGAGCCCGATGATGTATGAAGAGCCACGGAGACTGATGGTAACGTCTCTTCAGCGGCTATAATTTCTCCGTAGACAGGATCTCTTGATCTTCCAGTCCCTACATGCATACCCGGAAAAAAAGCTCCAACATCGTGGCGGCCGCATATGGCAATGTTATTGGCCAAAATAGGCTCAACTCCCATCCTAGCACTGCTGATTCCCATATTTTTGATAGAATCCATTTCAATATCCTCTAATTGCTTTCCAACTTCTTTATCGGTCATCGTCAACACAGATTGGCAGTTCAGATATGTACCTGAAGCCGACTTTTCAGCCAACAAAGGAGAAGTGACAGATGCAGGTCGAGCGGGGTCGTGTTGACACCAAGTGGTGACTGGCTGTTCCCGATTACAGAACTCACAGGACCAGACGAGACCATCGCCATCGGAGAAAGGTGGAATCCTAAGACAGGTGATGTGATAGGCTCGATCACATTCTGCGCAGATCATGTGCTGAATAATCAAGCATGGATAGCGGTAATTTTTTAAATTAAGGTAATACTTAGTAGTCAGGATAAAAAGCACGGAAAGACTTGAGAGGATGATAAAAATTGTAACAAACATTTTTCAGAATCCTTCCAGGGAAATTATAAGATATTTGAATATCATACATAATAAATAATAGACATTAAATGAGTTAATTACTTATTGTAAATTTTAAACAAACATATAAATAATATTTTTCGTATATAAGTAGAGTTTAGAGACAACCAGTAAATCACTTATATGCAATGTATTCGTTTTAGGTGATGAAGGACTGGTAATAGAATTTTCCCACATTGATATGAGTAGAACTGACGTTTACATTGAATTTCACATAGCCATGCTTTCCCAAAAGTTGTTCCCATTCGGGGTGGACTGCAGTTTCGACACCCCAGCGGGAGTCGAACCATGACAGTGGACCATGTGAACTC